GTCATTCGCCAAACCCCAAACCGAAGGGGCCGCACTCGAGAAGTCCGATTCACCGGGGAAGCATGCCTTAAACCTCGCACGACCTCTGCCAGCCCATCCAAGCTCACATCCGAGAAGCAGTCGTCGAAGTCATCCCTTGGGACAGGTAACACCAACATTTCCCCACTCCCATCATCAGAGCGCCAATCTATTTCCTCAAATCGATCGTTGCCGAATCCACCATCCAATCTCGCAAGCACGTTGGCTTGACCGATGACGCCAACCGACATTGCACCCAATGTCATGTTGTCAACCCGACCGATCTCCCACCCTACTCCAGCGTCAGGAGTCCCGACCAACCTATCCTCGCGGGCACTGACCCTTTCCTTGTGTTTGAACCACCGTTCATGGTTTTTGATTGAACGGAATGTTTTCTTACTGTTGCACAACTGACAAAGATACGCTGGTTGTTGGCCCGGCAACAACCATTCTTCATAGTACAAACCAAAAGGACGACGCTGACCACCTTGCATATTCTCGTATTTATTCAAACTTGCAGGGATTACTGAACGACGACAACGAACAAAGACGGTGATGAGGTCTAGAATTATCAATCGAGTAGGGCGGAATACGAGCACGTTTGGAATGAGGTCGTGGGAAGCAAAGCAAGGTCGAATGAAATTGTGATTCAAAGTGTTTAAAAAATTCAGGTGAGTAAGATCGGTTGATTGTTGTGTTTTTCTGGTCAAGTGTTTGGGGGAAACCCACCTGGTGAGACCGACCGCACTATAAATAGACCTCCGGATGAGTGTGCCGCTCTCGCAAACCACTAGTATAACGAGCACTCGTCGCTTGAAAGCCCCCCACAACATTCATTTTATCGCCCCCTCATCGATATAACAACTAAAAATGTCTTACTACCCTCCTAATCCCCATCCCAGCCCAATGAACCCGCATAACTACTCCCACCACCCGAGCATGAATCTTGGCGACCAAGTGGCACCCATCACCCCTATTAATCGACGGGTTGCTAATCCCACCGTGCGCGGCGGATTTCAAGGCAGTAGTGGACCGCACCGCCATTCCCCAAACACATGTAGGTTGTCCCTAGCACCCGCAACCAATCCATGTTTGCTTACACGACCAATAATGCAACTAATAATGTTACCATAGCCCGATTCAATCCTCATCAGAATAACCATAGCAACGGAAGCCACCAGACGACCAATCCCGGTCAAGAGGGACCAAATCTTGGCGATTATCAGGATCACAATGACTTCTCCGACCTCATGCAATCGGGCGACTTGATGACAGGCGGCCTCGGCGATGAACCACGAGGTGGCGACCATGACGAACTCCCACCAGCCTTAGATCTTGATGACATTGGACCAAATAGCCACAATGCTACCACGACCCAAGCCAGAAACCAAGAGGAAATCGGCCGCCTTAACGCCGGGGCCCACACCACACCGGAGACAAGAGCCAACCCGGCCGACCTGCGCAACACCGACGGCAACACCCAAAATCTCGAACCAGCCAACCACATGACCCCAGACGCAATCCGTCGGTACATGGAAGTAAGCAGAGACTCCTACGTCAAGTGACCTCGGCCCTGACCACCCCCCCCTTTTTCCCTAACTAGACCCCCGATGGCCTGGCCAGCATGGTAGGCATTCTAATTCAGCGAGGCGGTGTGCGCCCAGATGACACCAGTGGCCCATGTCGCCACGTATATGGACCTATCATCCGGGTGAGTCACCTCAAACCCATGCCCAACATAAACAAACCATCGCCGCTGATCCGCCTGTCGCCACAGGAACAAGTCCGTACTGAAATCCGCAACATCCTGAAACAAACCAACATCCCGGCGTACACCAAGACCCATGCGGCCAATGGTGAAATGTACATCAATGGCCCATTTGCATTGATCCGAGTAAGTCACATTATCCCCATTCCTCATCCCCTCTCCCTCTCAAAGCTAATCAAATAAGCACCACCACCCCAGGCCCACGTCCTCGCCCGGCCGGCCGCATGGCGGCAAACCCACCTACCCATCGGCCTCGCAACCGATGCCACCGATGCTGTGGAGAACCTCGATCGCTTCTTACGCACCATGGTTAAACATGAGCGCACCACGCTCCGCAACTTGGTAAGGCGGGGTCCAGACCCCTGCTCCAAAGATCTCATAAAAGTCTACCTTGCTGATCTTTGCTGATCTCGCAAACCAAACAGGTACTCATCCAAGTCAGACCCGATGCACGCATCCGCGCGCCAGGGCCGATCCCGCGGCTATTCGACCTCCTCGTGCTCATCCACCAAGGGCTGACACACCGCCACCACCATCTCAGCCGAGAAGAATTACGCAGGTGGGCTACCCGCCCGGTCCAATTCAGGTTTGCGATGCTCCGACTCCTTGCCGTCCATCACTACCTCAATCGCCCCCCCGGTCAAAACCTCTCGCAGTGGAATGTCATCGATCGGTACCTGGAGATGCTCGCAGGCCTGAGTCAGGTGACCCTCCAAGCATACGTCACTTACTCTCCAAACCAATCCCCATGGCCGATCAAACTAACTCACAGTTACCTCATAGGCACATCGAGCTCATCATGCGCAAAGATACCGAGTATTTTGATGGTATCAAGTACATAGATGACCTCCACACCGCGAGAGTATCACTCTCCCCACCGACGAAGAGG